ATAGTTGAGAATTTTTGGAGGAATGTGTGGATTTCAAGAGAGCAAAGGGATGTTGAATACCGTATGCACACCTACCGGCAATTTACCAATCCCGAGCAGGGAGTCATTCGAACTTGACTCTATCGAAGGCATCTGATAGCCTTGAGTGTATATCCACCCCAAAAGGAAATTGATCGTCAAAATAGTGCGGCCATCCTAACATCACCTCTTACAACCGTTCCTTTCCATACGTTTCCAGTTATTCTCACTGATCAGTTGTCAACCCCTTTTGGGTTGTACCAACCCAGCAAACAAGGTAACGTTGGATCAACATTATATCAACGTTCCGAACGTTCATTCAATGTTGATTCAATGCTGATTCAACATTATGTGTTTCAATTTGTTTGCTGGGAAGGCACAGGAAAGTTCTCTAATGTGATGTTAGACCCAGAGAACTGAAATTTGGCATTTCTTATAACTAATGAAGGCCACCATCCCTGTATATATATTTTTTTCAGGCATAGCCCTGTCAGAGGCACATGGAAATCCTTGAAATTTGATCACTGGAGTTGGAACGTCTCGACAGTGACTGCAAAGGAATGGCTGAACAGTGTTTCTCAGTGCGTTTCGCACGTCTTGCTGAATGCTAAGCACTAGCGGCAAAATACTCCGCACCTCTCTCAAAATGCATCGCATGCGTTGCATAATCTTTCGTACCCCATGCTCTTCTCCACTCCTACGGTGCAACTTAGAATGTCAAGACCACCTGGCAACCCTGGCAGAAACCACATCTGGGACCTTTGAAACAACGGCTGCATTTCGTCGATACTTTCCGTCATTATTTACGATTCAATCATTACAAATTTTCGAGTGAGGAACTCCTTTTCCATTCCCTTATTGATCTTTTCATGGAGTACAGTACTTCAGTGTAATCACTGAATCTGGGCGCTTGACATCCATCCATTCTAAAGACTATCGACAGGTCATGCATTCCTCTCTCCAAGGGTTGTCAGATGGAATTGTCATTCGGAGCGGCGCTTGCTGGCTGGGTTGGAGGAGGGAGTACAAAACGTTATGCAACGTTTCGCACTTCCTTGTCAGGCCCAAAGCTATCAACTCTAATTTTAGCGTTGTAATGCTTGATCATATGCGTGTCTCCATGACCCTGAAGGCATGACTCGGCGGATGCATACTCAATATTTCTTTATTCCTTTCCTTTATTACTTCCACATAAACCTTTCGCAGGAAAGAGCATTCATCTGCCTGCATCGCTTTTGTGAGGGGGAAATGTCGTGTGGAACTTTTCCCGCCTTCTTAGCTATGCATTCTGGGAATCAGCATCTGTCATCGTTATGAGTAATTTTATAAAAGCAACATTCGCAGAGATTAATAACCTCGAGATAAAACTGGGTAGAATGCATACATTGGCTTGATAAACCCTGGGTCTAGTGGGGAGTGGTGAAGCCCTTATTATGCAAACAATTTTGGTAAAAACAATTTAAAAAAAAACAACGAAGGCAAATTTGCGCAGCAAGAGCAGGTAAAATTGAGTTTCGATTTCTCCAATCATATGCAAACATTTCTCGCTACTAGACATTACTAGTGGAAATACCTCCTTCGCGCTTTAAAATTATATGACGCACTTTGATAGTTGCACGAATCCATTAAGTGCAAAGGAGGAGGACTTCGTCCACCACCTGCATATCCATAATTACAGATTCCTTGTTCGGGATTAATGGAGTGTCCATCAAGCATCAAGCATCAAGGCAGCAATCTGGAGAGCTTCTCAATGCTTGTTTTGGAAGGAAAAAAATCAAGGTGATTTTTCAAGAATGCATCACTTCTATCTCCACACGATGGGGCTTTTTGACGTACAGGCGTATTGGTCCAGGCATCATGATTTTACATGGGAGATTCGCACGGACCTATTTTCCCTCATCGCATTTCCTGATCCCCATCGGAAGTACTATCGTCCCCGAAGAGTTATCGTACGTCAGTTCGTTCCATTCAATGCCTTCTTTACACATTTCATCTCCTCTTCCCTCCGTTTCCTCCGACACCTTGGATCCAACTGTGCCCAAGCACCTGTAGTCTGCACGGCCTCATACATCTCACTCATTTCATGCATCTCATGAGTCCAACTCAATTAGCGGTGTCCCCCGCACGTCTGCTCAATTAATCGTGTATCTAGATATCACAATCGATAGGAGCCTGCTAGATTTTGAAGAGCACATCTCTCACATGCTTACGTCCAAAGAGAAGGCTTGGCTTCATTTAGAGAAATCTTTGCTATGCTGATACCGGTAGTTAGGCAACAGGTATGCATAGATTAATTCATAACTCGGCCAGGGAGACGCGTTGCCATGTCCCCCTCCCTCTCCCCAAATGAAGGGCAGTATTCTTCGGTAAGCTTCGTACATAAAAAAAAAAATTTCTAGGCACTAGCGGTAAAATGGTTTGCACCTCTTTCAAAATTATTCGTACGAGTTGAATCTTTCGCCACACCCTGACGATGTGATGGCAGAAGGGAGGGAGGAACATTGTGTGACATGTATGGGTCACTTTGAAAGAGGTACAGAGTATCTTGCCTCTAATGCGTAGCAATCTGCCGCAGGTACGAAACCCATTCGACTCGATTGCTTCATAGCAGCTTTCTTTTCGTCGTTCTGCACGGTGATTTCAGGTGCGAGAAAGTCGACATCGAGTGCCCGCTGCAAACGGAAGAATCAGTTGAATGACTGAATTGCCAGCATGCATGTCTAATAATCACCTCAGCGGAGACCACCATGCTTTGCAAAGGGAGCGTCGCAAAACCCATCTAACGTCACAGTCGGAAAAACACCTCTCGAGGAGTAAGTTAAACAATGCACCCTAGCGTACAAGGCTATCATCCGTTCAACCTTGAAGTACGCAGTTGGAGTATGGGACTTTCCTTGAGTTGGTGATGATCTCCTTTTGAAAATGTGCTGAGACGTGCTAATGGATTCGAGAATGACCAGCTGGGACATTGACTCAAACAGTCTGGTGACATCACAAGGTGAGCAAACCTTGAAAGTTTATCAGAGTTAGAGATCAAGTGCTGCTCCATAAAATCTTACACGATAGGTCTTACCCGCAAGATAGAGCAGTGGTCCTCAGCCATTTTCACTTCGGAGAACCAGTTTCGCTTCAGATCCGATCAAGACCACCTGAGGAGTTTGGGTTGTTAGGAAGCGGGGTAGGCCGTCAGGAGAAAAGTCTAGAGTCCCTGGTACTTTTATTCAGTACTGCACCACATAAGCTTTCCCTTGTTTATTTCATTAGCGGTCAATCGCGTGCATGTTTTTAGTTAATTCTGAATCCTTGATGAGGATTACGACTACGTGCTGCCACAAACTCACTCTGAGAGCAATATTAGTGAGAAACAAGAGCCACAAATATGTGAGGCATAGCAATAATTATTAGTGGAACACATTTCACCTATGCACATTAAAAAAAAACTGCCAGTTTAGCCTTCATAATTTATATCCTCCAGGGCGTAGGTGCACCAACACGGGGGCGGGACGAATGGTTGGTTACGACATGGATCGATTTTATATTCAATTCTTTGGTAACTTTTTTTTTAACTATAATCTCCCTTGCAAACAAAGGTGCACCAACACGGAGGTAATCCCGCCCAAAATTTGAAAATAAGAGGGCGAAATGTCGGTTTTACCCATCGCCAATAGTTGGACACATCCTGAAAATAGTTCCTTTCGCCTAGCAGACCTCCTCCCCTCCCTTCCCCTGCGGCTTTAATTGGGCCAGGCTGACGAGCAGCAAGGAAGGGAGGGAGGAAGGGAGAGGGGGACGGAGTAGCAATGCAACCCGAAACCGAAGGAAGGACATTTGCTAATCCTCTGACCTTAGGCGTAGGGGGTAGGAGAGTCAGAACTTCTCGTGCTTTGTCCTAACCATTAGAGGTGTGCGTGAGTCCCACTTCACGCGTGATTCACGCGGGACTCACGACCTTTTTCGTGAGTCGTTACTCGAACAGAGGTTCGGAGAATGCCTTTATCGTGATCGTGAAGAGAACAGAATTCACTCACGCGTGATCGTATTTTTATTATTTCTCTCTTTTTTTTTTTATAGACTGCCAGATTTCTAATATCCTTCAACGAGGATCGAAGATCGAACCCGTGGGAACGTCGAAAGTTCCATATTCTCATGAAAGCTTTTCCTGGAGCCAAAGAAAAAATATATGCCAAAAGTTGCTCAATTTCCCTTTCATTCGTTGTCCGAGAGTTAATTTCCTCAATTCGGCCGTGGCATGGCCTTGTATTACTCGCATCCAGCTCTGCATTCTTGTGGAATAGGTATTTAGGACTTATGAAATAGGGGTTTAAAATAGGATAGTAGTTCTAGTTTTTATAAGGATGGAACTATTTCAGCAAGTTATTTCTCTTTGCTTTTCAAAAACAGCTCTAATCGTACTCGTGTGCCACACTCGTTCAATTTACTATTTATATACAATATCAAAACAAATAATGGGAATTATTTTCAACGAAAAACGAAGCGGTGACTCACGCGTGACACGAGTCACGCGGGATCATGCATGATTTTGCGTGAGTTTAATTCACGCATGCAATGATCGTGCGTGTTCGTGATTCTCAAGTAATATTGAATCTCGAGTTTGCGTGAAAGTAAGTGACGACTCGGTTTTCCTCGTGATCGTGAGTCAAAAATCACTCACGCGCACACCTCTACTAACCATCTTAAGAAAACGGATGCACCTACAGTATGCTCCAAGGTGCAAATTTGTCAAGACATTCCATTCTCTCAAAAGTACAAGGCAACTTAGAGGATTAAAAAAAAAAGTGAATGGTGGACAGATATAGCTGGCTGCAGACTTGCACAGAAGAGGAAAAAGACTCAAGGTCCAACCCGAGATAAATTTCCAAGCCATCACATTTAGAGAAGCATGTATTATAATTACATGCAGCAGTTTTCACTCTCCTGAGCTCTGAGACAATGTTAATACAGGTAAATGATAATGCAACTAGTTGCATCAAGAAAGAAATGAAACTTTATTTCTATATCAAGAACTGACAGCAGCAGGAGGAGCAAAAACATCTGTTATTGTCTCCTGGTGGAGTGACAATTGGCCAAGAGACAAAGGAGAGTGAGTATCATTTCTGCATATGATGGGCATATGCTCTTCATGACACATCATAACCATTATCTATACCTGCACTGGGTACTGAAATAAATGCACACAATTTTCTCACCGGTTGCATCTTACACATTTTCATCACCGGTCACATATTACAAAATTTTCTCACTGGTTACAATTTCCATGATTTTCTCACTGGTGATATGTTCAAAGTAATGAATTTTAAATTAAATGCATTTTACTGGTAGGAATATGCCATGCCTCTATCTCACCATGTGCTGTTTGTTTTCAATCATCAAAGCCATCAAATCTATCTTATTCATCACTTAGACTCATAATGCAACAGTACAGCCTTTTAAACCAAAGGGAAGGATGAATGGCTTTTGTGTTCAATGTCCCTGCTGCTGCTTTTGGAGACACAGCTGCCTCTCATTATGAACTAAATAATAGATGGAAAAGAAGAAAAAGTCTAAAGAGAAGAACACTCAAGGTATTTCCATATGAGGAGCATTGTCATTCCTAGTTTTGGTTGCTTGTCAAATCTGGGGCCAGGTTACCCTCTTCAATCCCAGGGTTGTCAAAATTAGGATTGAATTTCAACACCATGGCATCCTTTGGACCCAATGTGACCTGTGCCAGGTCCACACTTTTTACTTCATTTCTGAAAAATAAAAACATTCACGCCACAAGCATATAAGAAGATCGTGACCATGTTATAGCTTGGAATCTATGAGACTTTCAGACTTTCATCAGAAAACTCACAATATGTCATCATCGTGACCAGTGGTATATAAAATGACATCAGCTTCTCCAGTGGGAATGTGCTTGCTTTTGGTAAAGTCAAGAGTGTGATTTTTTCCACCAAAATTGACCACAATGAGATAACCAGGACTTCCTTCTTTTATGCTGGAAAGACAACCCATGAACAATCATCAAACAAACCTGCAGGAGCCCATGTGATTTTATTTTTATGGCATTTCACTCACCGGGAGAAGGAGAAGATATCAGTGTCAACAAGAGGGAAGCTTAGATCCCCATAAAGGAATGCTTTTTCAACAGAACGCAATTTCGTCATTTTTTTGTACACATTTAGATGGCTGGTCCTTTCAGTTTCCTGTGCTTTCACATTGTTGGTCTCAAAGTCTAGGTTCACTGGTACCCATGGGGTGTTTTCTGAAAACCCTGAAGAATGAATGAAATATTCAGAGCCATAAAGAATGGAGAATTGAGTTTCTGATATGAAGAATAAGAACAATTGAACAGCCTCTTACCAGAATGAGGAGAATCATCCCATTGCATAGGAGTGCGGTAGGGGTCCCGGCCAGAAGAATCCTGCATGTTCCTTGAAGATATATTTCCATCCACCATCCCAATTTCTTCCCCATAATATGTGATGGGGGTCCCAGGCAAGCCCAATGTGATGATGTTGAAAGCATCTATGAAGGCCTTCCCAAAACGACTTCCCACTCTACTTCTGTCATGATTACCCAACTGTCATTGGGAGAAACAAGCATTGGAGTTAGGAACAGAGAAGAAATTTAAAGCATAGCAGCCCCAGGAATTTTTATATGGTTACATTTCATATCCTAGAAAGTGAAATTGTAAGATATCTCTTATTAGAATTTTCAGAGGTGCAAATTGAGTCATCCCTTTCACCAGAATCAGAATGCCACAAAACTTCCAAAATAGTTGCAACTCATTACAGTTGAGTTAAAATCCTTTCGTAAAGGGTGTCCCAATGAATTTTAACAATTTGATTTTTTAATAACTTTTTAAGTTATGCACCGATTCTGATCACATTTTAATCCTTTTGTCGAGCATTTCAAGATAATTTTCTGACCCTTATTTGAGCACAAACAGTTTAGGAAAAACGAAGTTATAGTAATCCTCACATACACCACTATTTTGCAGCACTGCTCTCATTTTCCAGCCCTCTAATTGTGTGTACTGTCTATCTGAGGTAAGAGGTATAGAACGTACAATTTTGGAAAAAGCAAAGTGCATCTGCTGACAAAAGGAAACAAAGAGTTCAACAGAGGTTCAACGGAGATTCCAGGCAGAATTGCCGATGGGAGATGCCCAAGTCAATTGGCAGCTCTCCTTGTCTTCATTTAAAGAGCTGTAATGCTGTTTCTATTTTGCATGGATGAAATTTGTGGTCTTTGAGAATCCACACAATTGTCAATTTGCTGATGTTAAAACAGATTTGTCATGTGGTGCAGGGGCATGTGTGAGATTCCCAGGAAGGTGTTCATGATCATGTATTCAACTTCTCTTCACACTGGTCTTGCCAAAATCTTACTTCTCAAAAGAGTGCCGTATTAAAAAAAAAAACTTGCGATGCCAACAGATTATTGCCAGTCGACTTGTGCATCTCCAAAGGCAAAATTCCAACTGAAATTTCTGTTGACCCTCTGTTGGACTCTTCATTTTCCCTTGCCAGCAGATGCACTTAGCTTTTTCCCAAATCGTGTATTTCATACCTCTTAACTCAGAGGGATGGTACATGCAATTAAGCAGCTGGAAAATAAGAGCAGCAGCAGGAAAGCATGGTGCCTGCAAGGATGGCCAAAAACTCATTTGTTTCGAACCATTTGCTCTCAAATAAGTGTCAGAAGATTCTCTTGAAATGCTCTACTAAAAAATATAAACATGATCAAAATTGATGCTGAATTAATTTATTAAAAAATCAATTTTTTTATTATTCGCTGGGACACCCTGTATATCCCATGAAAAGATTACAGCATTTCCTAGCTGAAGAACTCATGCATGAATGGAAATTATGGAATTGTGATCTTTATGTTGCAGGAGTAAAATTAGATGGATTCTTATCATAGGGTATAGGATTGATATAATATGACAGCTGCAACTTTGAACGGAAATACACTGCTTACTAGAAAATATAAGTTGGCATTTCAATTTGATCAGGTGAAGAATATAGTTGGGAGGACTTGTAAAAGTATTCTTGGGACACTTTCACACCCTATCAGTACAGAGACAGAGTTTTGGACCATTTTCTTCATTTCATATATCTTGGGGGAAAATATCTAACTAAAAATTTCAAGTGACAGCAGTTGGATGTGGAGCTGGGATGCAACAAGAATTCTCATGTTCATCTCTGTATAACTCTTCTAGACTGTCGCATTGCTACATATCACAATGGGTCATAAGTAGGGCTGTACCAGTGGCCACATTTGACTGATTATGATTTCATACTGATTGGCCAGTGCCAATGCCACTTGTGACATACATTTCCTAAGCCTATAAGTCAAATGCAACATAAGGAAAATCAAGTGTGTTGCTGAGCTGGAAGTTGGACTTTAGCCTTTTCAGTTTTCAGTTTTCAGGACTCAGGAGTCCCGCACTTTCTTCGCATATGTTATGGGGTTACACAGGAATGTACAACCTTGAGACCATGGTGGGATTCTGAGTCCCAGTTTATAGTAGTTCACCTCATGTTTTCAAGTTGACAGCAGTCTACAGTAATTTGAAGCTGCTGTATTTCCTCACGCACTTCAAAAATGGTGTCATCTTTAGCATTTATTTCAACTAATACATTTCTTTCCCAGCCAATTTTTCCTATGTTTTTTGCAAGCTTGATAATGGAAAGTAGTACAGGAATGCTGGGAAAAATATGACATAAAATAGGGATATGAGTACTAGCTGAACTAATTAAATTTTATAATTTTATTAATTAACTAATTTAAAAAATAATTTAATAAAGATTCACTGTTATTAAGGAAACCACTTTAAAAGCACTTTTATTTTATATGAGCCTTGTTGTAGCCAAAAAAGTATATTATATATTTTCTCAATGCCTAGAACATAATTCAGGACTGAAAGGGTTAAAGAAAAGCATGTTAGACATGGGGGAAGTCAAATGTAACAGGTATGTATGCCCTTGCCAAACAACAGCCTCCTCTTTGTGGTTCCATTTTGCAGGGCTCCACATGCAAATCCATGTAAACATTTAGATAATATGTCATTATTACAGTTAATTTTATTAACAATCTTTGACAACAGATCAATAAGAATGAAAACTATTGGGCAAATATTTAGATTTTCCAAGCCCAATAATGATGTATGCGAGTCAGGAGCATCAGATGCTAATGCATCTGGAGGAGCACTTTGCAAAAATGAAACAAGGCATCCCCTTAGCATAGATATGGTATATCATGTATACCTGTTGCATTTGGCTTTCTTCATTCCACATGTGTCTAAGAAAACCATAGGTAAGAGTGAAGAACAATATCAAGTACTTACTCAAATAGTCCCAATTATTCTAGAAGCCATGTCTTTTTTTGGGGGGCTGTCATGATAACTGTTTTGAAAATGTCAGTCACCAAAACTAACAATAATGCATTGAAGCATTATTGTTAGGCCATATGCCTCCACCTATCATAGTGACATTGACTGATGCATCATGACAGCCCTACTATTTCCTTATTGTTGTTGAGAATCACTTACTAAACCACTTTCACCTGGTTTTTTACATTCTTTATTCATTTGGCATGTTCTTCCTTGGTATTAGCATCAGTAGCTTGTAAAACATAGTGATGGCCAATTGCACTGATGGTATAATATCAGGGGCTAATACTAGTAGTTGCTGATGCATTGGTATGGCCCCAGTCATAAGTCTTCATAATGATGTCATCCTATACAGATTACTGTACATGGTGGCCCAAAAGTCAGGACCCATAGGGATTTCACTTTCCTAGAGGAAATACTCAAACTGTTCACCATTAGCATCCAAATATTTTTCGATTCTAACAAATGATGCTTGAACTCTTCTCAGCATTTGGACAGTTATCTTTAGTCAGGACCCATAGGGATGTCACTTTCCTAGAGGAAATACTCAAACTGTTCACCATTAGCATCCAAATATTTTTCGATTCTAACAAATGATGCTTGAACTCTTCTCAGCATTTGGACAGTTATCTTAGCACATTCATCTCTTACTTTGCTCTTTAATTCTATGGTTCTGGGACATTTACCATAAAGGATCAATTTTAAATGCCCCCACAGAAAGAAGTCAAGTGGTGTGAGGTCCAATTTCCAAGAAATATCACAATTTCATACTCCTGCAGTGGTGGCTTATCCATGACAATGGCTCGGTTGTCACTGAATTATTGGGTTGTTCGGAAAGTTCTGTCCGAAAATTTTGACAGACTGTATTTTTCCCAATTATTTTTCTTGCTTGGTCATATTTTTTCCCTTATGTGCGTGTGCTATCGTATTTTATCAAAAACTTTTGTTTTGCTCCTATCTACTTTTTTTTTTATAGGTTATAATGATGTCAAACCGTGAGCACCTCCTGCACTGTTTGCTTTATGAGTACGATCTAGGAAGCTCTGCAGTAGAGGCTCATTGCCGCATATGCCAAGCTATGGGCCAGGACATCGTCAGCGAACGTACGTGTCGCAGATGATTCGCCAGGTTTCGCGCGGGCGACAGGACCCTCCAAGATGAGCCGAGGTCTGGGCGGCCCTCTGAGGTCGATGACGATGAGTTGTGCAGACTGATCGAGGCTGATCCCAGAATGACCGCCTGTTCCTTGGCGGCCAGACTTGGATGTGCCAATAGCACCGTGTATAGCCACCTCCTAGCCCTGGGAAAGGTGCTTAAGCTAGGGTGTTGGGTACCCCATGCACTGTCACAAGCTGACCGTGACCGTCGTTCAGACATCTGCACGTCTTTGCTGTCGCGCTTGCGCAACTTCGAGTGGTTGCGCTACGTCATCACTGGCAACAAAAAGTGGTGCCTGTACATTAACTGTACGCGCCATGGCCAATGGGTGAGCTGGTGCTGGAGCCAGAGCCGAAACCTGATCAGCACGCGAAGAAGCTCATGTTGACGGTTTGGTGGGACACCAAAGGCGTCATCCTCTGGAAGGTGCTGCCCCACAACCAGACTGTGACTGTGCAGTACTACTGCAACCAACTGCAGCGTCTCAACGACCAACTCACTCTGGTTCGCCTCAGGCATGGCCGTGTTCTCTTCCTCCACAATAACGCGCGGCCGCATACTGCGAAGTGCACACGGGACAAGCTTCTCCAGCTGGGCTATGAGGTTCTGCCCCACCCAGCTTACAGTCCGGACATAACACCATCAGACTACTGGCTCTTCCACGCGCTCGACTAGCACCTACACAAGAAGAGCTTCACCGATGAGAACGCACTCAAGATGGAGATCGGCCACTTCTTTGACTCCCAGCCTGAGACATTCTACAAGGACGGCATCAACGCCCTGCCGGATCGCTGGCGGAGGGTTGTGGATGCCGATGGTGACTACTTAATAGAATAAGGTGTGGTTGTTAATGAATAAACTTTGTGGAAAGAAAAGTGTGAAAAACGGACAGACCTTTCCGAACAACCCAATATGTAGACATGTCATATAATAAGCATGTGCTCCACTGGGGGGTTAATTGATTGAAATGCTTAAATTTTGAAGATCCAGTCTTAGAGAGATTAGAACTCACCACCCAGTTGGGCCACAGATTATCATTGGGCAAGCTCTCCATCCACTCACTGATGTTGTCCTTGACCTTGTCTCCTGTGAGTGGTGGCTTTAGCCCATCGATGAACTGGAAGTTAAATGGGAAGTGAGCAATTGTTCCATTTCCATAATATTTCATCACATCTGGTACTTCCCCTGTTGCTTCAGCCAACAACACCCTATGAATACATAAAGACTTCCTTAATAGAGTGATAATAGAATAATAATTCATATGTGTAAGTAATACAATCAAAGACAAACCTTTGTCGACCATCACCCATTTTCTCTGCATAGTTATCCACAAATTTTCTCCATGTCTCCATAATTGTGAAGGTCATAGGTTGATGAGCAGTCAAAGTGTGTTCAAGATAACCATACTTGTTTGGATCAGTGACTTTGGGATCACGTGAAGGTGGTTCATCTTTTCCAATCATGTCTTCAGCCTCCACCAAGTGAATGACAGCATCCAAGCGGAAACCCCCAATGCCTTTGTCCAACCAGAAGTGCATGATTTCCTGTTGGACAAACAGATATCATTAGTAAGTGCTGCTGATGTCACTTCTTGAATGCACCTGAAAGAATCTTCCAAGGTAAGAACGCTACTTGACCTTAAACTCTTCCTGAACATTTGGATTCCGCCAGTTGAGGTCTGGTTGCTCCTTGTAGAATTGATGGAGATAATACTGCTGTCTCTCTGGATGCCACTCCCATGCAGACTTTCCAAAGACACTCAGCTACACAAAAAACACAACCAGACAAGTTCAATTACCACAGCCAAACATCCAATGATCTGTGGCCACTTTTTTATAACTTGGCCCCAGGCCTCCATTTACAGACTGGTCACAGAATTCCTTCTGGAGTGAATGCACCAAGATTTAAAATGCAAAATGTTATTGATTATTAGGGGTGTACCAGAGTAACTAAACAATTGGTATCAGCCACCATCATTGATGCCATCAGCAGATTTCTGGGTTACCAATGCTGAAACTAAATCAAAGAGTCAGAAAGGTGTTTTGCTTTCCATGTGTGAGGCAAGGTGTGGTATTATGGTGAGTATAACAGGGTGAGGCAAAAAAAAAGCACCACTCTTTAGAAATATGTAGCACCTCTGAATCAACAGCTAGAACAATGAAGTTTCTTCCACACACACACACACCTATACTCATCCTTTGAGCATCCAAAAAACTTCACTTTATTATCTCTAGTCACAAGAGTCTTTCAACAAGAGTGTTTCGACAAAAGCAACTGGAATTTTATCTTTGCACTCAAACATGAACACTGATGGGTGGACCTGGCCCACTCATTAAGAGTGACAATTCTTCTCAAAGATTTTTCCTCTGCACTTTAGAATTTATCAAGCAGATTTCTGACTCATCCTAATGTCAGTCAATTTGCAGATGGGAATTTTACATCCCAGAATTCTATCTTCAGAAATAATGACTTCTTCCACATGGACTTAGTTTCCTTCAGTTTCAGCTACTTTTAGTCTTCTGCTCCTTCTCTTTTTCTCAGATATCTGGTTTCTCACAGCTTGTGAATCAATCTCTAAATGATAGGCCTAAATTTATTTAATCCTTTACTAGGAAATTCTTGAAAAATTCTGCCCATCCCATTCATTCGTAAAGAGCAGCATTTTTATTATCAGATGGAGAGGCTTTGGTCCGAGATAAGTGCGCTCCATGCGTACAAACTACTCTTCCACTGATAAGTTTCCTCACCCAAAAATAACGTTAGTGTTGCCTTCATGTTTTCACTCCTGTGCTAAAATGGCTAGAGAAAAATGAATAGGAATTTTTGGATGTTTAAAGGATATGTAAAAGTCATTTGTTAAAAAAAATATTGATGGGCTATTTGTTATCACAAGAACCACAAAGAATCTCAAAGGCCTGTTTTTTTTCCTCCGATATAAACAGATATGAACATTAGAAGTTGGTCAAAAGGCTATTTCAAGGAATCAGAATCAGGACATGCCACTTATTCCTATGACATCAACCGATCCTGGTGGCCATTGGAAGAAAATGAATCTTTTAAGCATCCAGCTCTATGAGAAAATTCAAGAGAATTTCATGCAACCTTTGCAATCAGTGTGGTGCACCCTTCTACCATCTTACTGGATCCGAAACAAGAAAGAGGCTAGTTTTCCCGAGAATCTGAATTTCCTTATTGAGAAATAGCTTTCTCTTGAGACTTTTGAGAGGACCTCACTTTCTAATGTTATGACAATTTAAGTGATGACAGTTTTTACTTTTCTCTTGATTTATCTCTATTTTTGTTCATTTTTTTAAATATAAATGTGAACAATGATGATGAGCTGGATTTAGGCAAATAAAACTACCTACCAACCAATCCTGGATGCCATTTCTTCTGTACTGATCACTCCAATTTGTGAACAAATTTCAGTGCCACTGTAGGGTCAGCACAGCACTTAGTGAAAGGAATTGTGCCCATAGGCATGAGAAGAATATTTTTTTCCTCTAGCAGGTTCTTTTTCAAACATGAAATTGAAAATTCATAACAAACAACATGAAAAATATGGAGAAACAGAAACAATTTCAGCTTTGTAGTGTTATACATAATTTCTAAAAAAAAAAAAATAAGAACCACTATTTTTGATAGGTGGGTCAAAACCTAATGAATTTGCCAAAAACTTCTTTGGTTTAGCCAAAAACTGGGATGGGGGGTGGAAAAGATGTTGTCTGAAATGCTCAAATCTGCCGTCCTTTTTGTGAGGTTAGGCCCTCCCAGTGTGTTGTCATGTCACAAAAATGACATGGTCTATCTCCCACCCAGAAGTGAAAGAGGAGATCGATGGAGAACCTCCTCAGGAAAATTTCCTTATCTTTTAAAATATTCCTTTCCAAATGACATTCCAAGTATCATTGAGTTCACCATTCGAAGATAAACAAAATGACGCCACATTTAAGTTCATCCCACAAACAGCAGATTTGTTTCTTTTGTCAAACCTAGCAAATGACCTTTTATTGAGTCAGATAAAATGTGTTAAAATGAATGAAAATGTTAGAATGAATCTCTCTCGGTGGAAACATTCGAAGAATTTCTTTTGCCCATTAGAAACAAGATCTTCATCAGGGGTGACCCCAAGGTAGGGTCTACCATTAATATCAGTTGACAAGTAGTAGTGAAAATTGCCTGAATACCTCCATAAGATATCCAGCTCACTCAGATTGTTCCCAGTAGTGGGTCAATAATCATGTCAATAATCTTCATTTATGTGGTATAGTTATTCATAAAATCTCTCTTCTTCCCATGTGAATATCACAGGGACTTGAGAAAACATCAGTAATGCTCAAAACTCATCAACAGTCAGTCCCAAACTCAACTATCTTCATTATCCAGGCAAGGTATTTTTGTGACAAAAAACAGGGGTCCATTGGAGCCCCTTGCTTGTTTTTTTTTTTTTACTAAAAACAAATCAAAACATAAAATTCCTTTTTGGATCAATTTATAACTAGCAATGAAAGGCAAATATCACATTTGTAGAAAATTCCATCCATCCATTTAGTCCATTAGACCCTTGTTTCCTGGATAAGGGTTATGTAAATGGAGAATACAAAAACTATCCCTAGACCATTATTATAGAAGGGTTCCATTAACAACCCCTTAAGATTCTCTTCCTCTTTCCTTCTTGAAAACATACTTGGTAATCCAGTGATGGAGATGAATCATAATTTTACTTTATGAAAATCTGTTTTAAGCATGTAATGCTCAAGCCACTGAAGGGTGGGTTCACACATATCCTCTCTCCTGTGCTCAATTTCATGGAAAAACTTCTTTTTGTACTCTTCTGCTACCATGCTTAGTATTGGAGCTGGCAACTTGCTTATCCATCAGCCATCATCAAAACAAATATATCATTTGTTTTGATCCAAAACCTGCACCAAACTACCGCTTTTCTTATTAAAAAAATATGACATAGCATTCATAGCTTCCCACTCCAAAATTTTCTGCAAGAGCATCATCAGGCAAACCACCACTGCATTGGTGGCAACATTGAACCATAGTTCCATAGATGACTGTAAATATCAGCTGTTGTAAAAAGTGCACTGACAAAATCATACAACAAAATATTTCTATCCATTTAGGCCACAATTTTACTCTGCTGCTGATCTGCTTAACAAGAGCTCATCCAAACAAAGAAAGTCAACTTGCCCAGTTGTTGGGTGGCAGTTGTTGACCAGATGGGTCAGCAGCAGCACTGTCTTCCCAGATATAGTAGTCATTATATTTTCCTTCCCGCTTCACACTCTTCTCGAACCAAGGATGTTTATCACTTGTGTGATTGGGTACCAAATCCATCAACAATTCGATCCCTTCATATGAATTAGAAAATGAGAGAAGAGATATCCATAGTCTACTTTAAGAAAGTCATTCCCAAATCTCTCACCTCTTGAACGCAGCTTAGCAACAAGGGCTTCAAAGTCAGCCATTGTTCCATATCTCTTATCAATGGCAGTAAAGTTGGAGATGTCATACCCAAAGTCCTTGTTGGGAGATTCATAGATTGGATTTAGCCATACAGCCTTCACACCAAGGTCGTCCAGGTAGTCCAATTTGCTTTCCAACCCTATAAGGATTCATACATCTTGTTTCTCTCTTAAAGGACTAAAAATACCAAAAAGTACTGATTGACTAACTCTAACCTTTCAGATCACCAATCCCATCTCCATTACTGTCCTTGAAAGAGCTAGGATAAACTTGATAGATAGGGCCCTTTTGCCACCATTCTCGAGTTGCACGTGGTTCACATTTGGGAGCTAGGATGATGATAATGATGGCTCCCACCAACATACCAACCCACAAGAGCCAAAACAATATGAATATGATCCAGCGCAGACGGACCCAAAATGGGTCATTTGAGTACTTCATCAGCTCTTCCTTTGTCAGTCCTATAGATAAAAATATATCCCATCACTGTGTTTAAGGTCAAAACCTAATCCCATTTTGACAGCAGTCAATGCCTGTTACCAAAATGGTAGATGTCGCTTATTATGATCGTGTTGGTACAAGGAAATTTGATATCATTAAGTGGCTGATAACAATAGGTGGAGGCAACCAATGCCACAGCAGATGCAATGGATGTAGATACTGGCAATCATAAAAGTTACTCAGATCCTATGTTAAACAATTTCCAGGCCAAAATCAAAAACTAACTTCTGATGGCAAGGGAGAGATCTTTGGAAAAACAATCTCACACGTATACAGAAGCCATATGTAATAATAGCAAAGTCTTCTTCCAAGCTATGGTAGACACACTTTCATTGATGAAAGAATGGGATGTCAACTGAAGATAAAAATTGTTCACTGTGACAACTTTGATGACCAATAGGCAGTGAATAGATGGCCTGGACAGTGAATGCCCATAAATTAAAAAAGCATTTACCTCTCCTCCATTTTTCAAATCATGGAAGAAACAAAGAAGAAATATAGGAATTTATCTAACATGGACTAGGTCCCCAGGTTATGAACTCTCTCTAATTATAGGTGTCTCCAGCATTCTTAAGAATAAACACTGTAAAGAAGAAAGGAAAGACATTCAAATTATAAAACTCGCAATAGCATTTTCTGATTAGTGGTAATCTAAGTCAGGACTGCAATCGCAGTACCTGCAGATGTAAACTCATCATTAAATGTAAGATTATTGAGCCAATTCAAGATTTAAAAATCAAAACTGCAAAACTCACCAGCAAATGATTTTTGGACTCCCTTGATGTCAATCTTGACATCAGCAGGACCATTTTGATCTCCTCCTGCAGGTATCACAGCCATGGCCTCTTTCTCAGCCAAAGGAATTTTCTCTTTTTCAGCATTAGATGCCTCTGAATTAGGATCTAACATCTTGAGGCTCTCAAAATTGACAAACAACAATCTATGACACATAATATAGAAGTCAGCATGATAGGCTTATCCTACACAATCTGATGACCTTACTTTGCCTATATCAAAAACTACATCAAAATTAAACCTGCCACAGTTTATGGCTACATCACAGCATGTAAGCTTAGGTCAACATACACAACCAGGATCAATAACTTTTCTCCCACTGCCTATTTGCATGCCAGGAACTTAAGAGAAATAATATAAAATATAAAATATAGTACAGAGCAACAAGTATACAACACAGAATGCCACTTGCTGTAAATTAACCCTTTTGTGTATGAATTTTAAAAGCCAAACAAAAATATTCTTTTTTTGGCTAACATTTAAGGTGGTATTCTGCAATAGTAGTCACATGTTCCACCTTTAGGAGCCAATATGGAATAGATTATGTGCCCTGGAGAGGACTGCATGCACCAAAAGCTTTGAGGCAGGTGTACCATGGCTGCAAAACCAATATCAGAAGCAAAATCATAACTGTCCACTTCAGTGGACATCATGGACATCATGCACAAAAGGGTTAATCTCACTGCCATTTACACTATGGTACTCTATCAATTTTATCAGAATTAGACATACCTAGATCAGTGCAACTTGATTAGAAATAGGCTTTCTATAGGTCATGGTTTAGCCTAAATAAACCTATATATGTTATACAAGCTTAATCTGTGAACAGGTCTATGAAT